GTGTGTGTGTGTGTGTGTGTGTGTGTGTGTGTGTGTGTGTGTGTGTGTTGGTCTTTCAGGAGCAGGTTTTCTTTGTAAATAATAGTACCAGGTGAAAAGATGTAACCTACTTTACATCCTATATTTTAATCTCATGCGATACAAGACACACATGTGGACACAACATGTGGTGGCCTAGATTTTGAGCACCTCTGTGGTAATCTTATCTGCAGCCGGTGAATGGAAGAAGTCTGGGAAAACTTGCGCTACCATTGTGCAGCAGAAGGACTCAGGAAAAACAGAGGTTGGAGAAGTTTGTCAGGCTGGATTTAGTCTCCATCTTGGATGTGCTTAATGAGCCTAGGATCCTCATTCCTCACCAGTGAGATTAAACAGTGATGGAGCACCAAATATATATATATATACATATATATATATACACATACACTCTCTTTTTCATTCGCTTTTACTCTCCAGCGCTCTGACTGTCACAGTGTCTCGTTTTATTATCTGTCCCCCTCGTTCTCTCCATCCCGGCTCCCGCTTCACCTTGAATGACCAGATGGGTAAATGACATTGCAACCCTCCTGAGTCAGCATGTTCTTATTAAATTATTTGTCCTTCATGCCACTTTGCAGCTCTCTACTGATGCAATGGCTTCCAACTGTTAATGACAAGGAAGGGGTGTAACATTAGTTTAGTTTTTCGTGCATGCTCGCTTTTAAATAAGCATTCATCCTGTAACAAGWAGCAACGACTGGCTGAAGTACATCTACGGACTCTCTAAGCACAAAGTACATATGAAATGAAAACGAGTCAAAACCATCAAACGTAAATGCAAATGTAAAAGGAAGTGTGGTTAAATGCACTAACTGCTCCGTTTACTATCAAACATAGTGACAGTAACCTAACACATGAGCGCACGTTCTGGAAGCAAGGCATTCTTTCATATAGGATGGTGCATTCCATATAGTTTTGGCAGTTCAACAGAAACTAAAAGGGGAAAAATAGAGTGGGAATCAGGGGAGTTGTGGGGGAAGGGATACCTGGCAGGGGGAAGGAGCTGAGTGCCACAGGAGCATCTGTCAATGCTTCACTTCATCAGTTCAGGAGACTGTCACATCTTTGTGTTTGCTGTGGTACTGCTGCTTTCCAAATACCTCTTTTTTTATCTGTTTAGTTCGGCTCTTGTGCAAAGAGTCATACAGGTGTTCAGCTTGATGTCTTGAAAGTTTGATTTTGTTTTCTTGTTTTGCTTCAGAAAATTGAATCAGATCTATCCAGAGCCTGGAGGAGCAGCGTTGAGTAGAAGTCCTGGAGCAGCAGGGGGCAAATAAACACCGTAGTGGTTCTTATCCAAGGAGCAGCACCACTGGTAAGTTGTACTATTGAACAACCTACACTGTCTAGCAGCTTTGCTTCACTACACATTCATTTATTCACCAGGGTGTGAGGCAGAAAACAGCAGCTTTATTCCTGTTAATGCCACAGAGAAGAGGTTGCAGCCCTCCTGTAGCTCAGTTTCAGGTCAACTCAAAATCAGATATCGCTCCCGTGAAGAAAAAATACAACTTTTCACATTACTTTAGATTCCATTCCCCACCGTGTGCAGATAAATTGTTAAAGACTACCTCCTGGCAGTCACAGTCAATTTTTATTTTTATTTTTTTACTTTTATGTTCACATGTCTGCACCTACTTTGGCTGATGTGGTTTTCTCATCTTTAATTCTCCAAATAAAACTCATCATATTGTAAAATTAAATTTACAAAATGGGAAAGTTCATGCTCATGTGGAGATGTTTTTGTGTGTGTGTGTGTGTGTGTGTGTGTGTGTGTGTGTGTGTGTGTGTGTGTGTGTGTG